GGCACTTAATAATGGCCATGCCACCATGGAGGCAGCCAGTTGTCTTTCTTTGGTAGTGAGGACATCCTTGCCAAGTCCTTGAAAATAGTCCGCCATGCGATATGGGGAGAGATTGCCCATAACGCGTAAGGGACCCCATTTTTCAATGATGGCAGCTAACTCATTATAGGTCCCTCAAATCCTGGGATCTGCCCTAGAATCATTTTCTCTAGAGGAGTATTGTTCTCCCCCTTGACCCATTTATAGAAATTCCATAGAAAAGACATGATGTTAATTTTAGTATATTCAGCCTGCCTGGCTCACCAAGTGTATAATCAAGATGTTATAACCACAATATAATTGTATAATCAACAGATATCAAGATGTTATAATCTCAATATAATCAAGAGAATTAGGCAAAGTAAACAAGGATCACAAAGAGAATAAGTGGAAGAGATTACCCTTGGGTTGAGCTCACCAGAAGACACCAAAAGAGGCAATCTCCAGAAGAGATCCTTCCCCTCTGGTAGCCAGCTCTTAAATAGGTCTAGGAGAGGTGCAGCCTGGCTCCACCCCTTCCGGCAGCACAGGTGAATTGCCTTCACCTGTGCTCCTCTGGCTGACTCATGGCTCACCTCAGGTGATCAATCAGAGGTTCAGGCCGTGACTCAGCAGTTCCCATACAACTGGGCCCAGAACTGACCACTGGGGAGCACTGCTCACTATGGGTCTCCAAATGGACTCTGCACCACTGATCACAACCCTCTGAGCTCTGACAGTCAGCCAGTTCTCAATACTGCTTATTGTGCACTCATCTATCCCACTCTTCTTAAGCTTGCCTATGAGCATGATATTGAAGACAGCGTCATAAGCGTTGCCAAAGTCAAGGCACACAACATCCACAGCTCTCCCCTTGTCTACACAGCTGGTGATGTCAGAGAAGGATGCCAGATTGGTCGAGCATAATTTCCTCTTGGCATATCCATGCTGACTACTCCTGATAACCATCTTTTCTTCCACTTGCTTGGAGATAGCATTTGAGACCAGTGAAGACATGCAAAGCCAGATATGACTTAGATACAAAAATGCTGATAAAACAGGATGCTGAAGAATGTTTGTGAGATGAAAGTTGATGAGGGCAGGCAAAGTGAAAATGCCGAAAGTGGGGAAATAGTCCCCTCTCCATTGAGGGGGAGGCTTTGTGTATTCATTTAAATACTTCAGTGAAAAATATCTGTATGCTCTATGATCTGTATGCTGTTCATAGTTTGTCTGAACTTGTGTGTGTGTGGAGGCACACACTTGCATGCATATAGAGGCCAAAGAAATTATTTCTCAGTGTATAAAAATTGTTTGACTCTGCTTTAAAAAGAAAAGAATCCACAGTTTGTATAACCCACCCTATATGAGATAATGTAACTGAAATATTTATATAGCATTTCTTCCATGGCATTTAAAAATGATGAACAACAAATATCAAGTCAAATTCTGTCGTGTGTCACTGCACAGGGCAGCTTATTCCATTTTATTAGTATTTTAATAGTTCTTCCTGCACCCATGTGTCTGATCAAACAGTATAAATGCCAGATAGGTTATAATGTAGCATCACTTCTGGATGCATTGGCTTTTGAAGTTAATCTTGAATAGGATACTTCACAGAGAATTTGCTTTGTCAAATAGTGCTGTTGTGCTCTTTCTGTCTGTTGTAATTTCCATGGAAGTAAATGGGAGGCATTACTTTTGGAGTGCCCTATATTCACAAAATAAAAAGTTAACCGTCTGTAAGTCAGAGAATTTGTAATAAAAAATATGCTTCCAGATTTTCACATTCAGTTAGCTGCTGCTTGGAAGAAAGAGGGATTACATTCAGAATATTTCTATGAAATGTATCTGGTTCCTTTATGCAACAACCTGCTACGTGGAGTAGAGGAGAAAAGCAAATCCCGGCCTTGATGTCAAAACAATGTAAATTAGTTTTTAAATGTTGACTTGTGTAACAGGCAAGGCATGGAAACAAAAGCATTGCCTGGAGTAGCGATGATGAATATTTCATCTTACTGACAAAGAGCAACAAGAGGCTAAATCCTAAAGCAAATGCTGTGCTGACGATGCACTCTCACTATGACAGTAGCGGTATTTGCAGTCCCAGCTGCACTCAAGCCGGTGCTATAAAAGCACCCATTTCTCAAAATACACGTTGCTGCTACTTGTCCTTCACTGGCCCTTAGTCAGAGGAATGAGCTTTGGTCTGTTTGGCATTGGACAAAATTGGAACAAAATTTTTCGGACCCAGATGAAGCTAGAGGCATTCTGGCATCATTGGCTCTTCTGGAATTGTAACCCTGACAAGAAGTATAGGTTGGTGTTACAGCACACTGCTTTGTATGTAACCCAGCCTTTCTCTAACCTTTTTCGAATATACAACACAAATGCCTTACGAAAATTGAATGCTTATCTTCAGTGAAACATAGAAGGAAGAATGCCACTGCTATTGCTGCGTGGCTGTGATATTTAGAGGGGGACTCATGGCCTTGAGTAGCAAGCACTCACTACTTGTTGGGGATTGTTTTGATTAAGTCTAATGAGCTGAGAGGTAATGAGTTGATTATGGATTAAGGGAGATGCTTCTCTGTCAGTGTGTTCTAATGTGTGCTCTGTCTTTTCCTAGCACCCACTTGTTCAGTATTCTCTGCAGCCTGACATATGGGACTCAAAGGGAATTAGAGAATGTTGCTTCTAAATTACGGAATTACTGCCTTATGGTAACCATCAGAATGAGGACTTCCTTTACACTTTTTCTTCTTTATTTTTTTCAGCTTGCAAGTTTTCCACATTCTATGCTTAAGATTGTTCACCATCACTGCATCCATTCTTTGTCCAGTCTTTCATGTAGTCCTAACACTGACACCAGTTTCTTGTTTCCTACTTACTTTACATGCTATTACACCGTAGCATTTCAAGACCTATTATTACTGATGATTTGGAGAAACAGGTATGGGGAACTTAGGTGGAGAGCTCTTTTAAAGGTGAGGAAGCAGGTGAAAAAAAATGTTCAGAAGATGTGTGGATTGTGATGTGGTAAAGGAGGGGTAGGCAGAAAGCACAAACTGAATCCTTGAGTTACACACAGCACTTAATTTGATAACGCAGAGTGGAACAGTAGCTTAGACTACTTAGCCCCCTGAGCAAAGCTTCTTGCAAGGAGAATCTTTTGCCTTACATTAAAAAGCTTCCAGTTTCCCTTTTGTCTTGCAGCCTGAGTAGGAGGGTATGGTAAAGTTATGTTCCTAGCTTCTTTATGCCATCCTTTTGAGATTGCAGTCACACAGAAACACAGAATTGTAGGGGTTGGCAGTGGCCACTGGGGATCAAGTCCAGCCCCCCTGCTAAGGCAAGTTCCCTGAATGGGTGGATCCTGAGTATCTCCAGAGAAGGAGACTCCACAACCTCTCTGAGCAGCTAGTTCCAGAGCTCCACTACTCTCACAGTTAGAAGTTCCTCCATATGTTTGTATGGAACTTCCTGTGAAGCAGTTTCTACCCACTGCCTCTTGTTCTATTGCTGCATGCCACTGATAAGAGCGTGGAGCCACTGACTCCTGCACTTTAGGTATTTATAATTAGTGATGAGATCCCCTCTCAGTCTTCTCTTTTCCAAGCTGCAGAATCCCATATCTCTCAGCCTTTCCTTGTGTGGGAGATGTTTCAGACCCCCAATCATTTTAGTGGCCCTTCACTGGACTCTCTAGAAGTTCCCTGTCTTTTTTGAACTGAGGAGCCCAGAACTAAACACAGTACTCCAGATGTGGCCTCACCAGGGCAGAGGAAATGGGGAGGATCACCTTCTCTGACCAGCTGGCCTCACTCTTCTTCATGCACCCAAAATATTGTTGTTTTTCATGGCCAACCTGATATCCACAGTGACACCTAAGACCTTCTCCTCAGAGCTCCTTTCCAGCATGTTATCCCCTGCTGAGACCAATGGAAAAATCCAGATTATTTCATCCCAATTGTTTGTTCAGAAGTGTCTGTCAGGAAGAGGGCAGAACAGTCAACACCTTACACCAACCTGTAGCCTAATGCAATCATGTGGATTCTGCATTATCTGTAACTAAAAGCAGCAGGTGGGTTGCTTCCAGCTCTGCTTCGTTGTGAGGTTCAGTCTCCCATTTTGGAGCTGCTGCCAGGCTGCAGGGCACCCTTTCCACCTCCATCAGACAGAAACACACCAGAATCTCAGGCAGCATCCGTGATCCAGAGCATTTCTGTTCCAGATCACCACCTCACTCACAGCTGGGGTCTGCACCTCTGTGCAAGAGATGTTATTAGACTTTATGTCTGTTACCTCAACATTGAGAGCACAGCTTTTCTTCTTTTTGGAGGGTGGGACTCTACTGGTAGATGAGCCCAATGCAGCTTTTAATCCACTTTATTGGGCTGCCAGTGGCAAATGAATCTTGGCAGTACATGCTCTGCACTTAAGCACCCAACCTGGTTTGAGTGCTGCCTGCAGATTCTCAACTCCAACGTATTCACTGCAGTTGATGTCTAAGATTGGTATATTTTAAATAGGAATTACCAGCATTACTGCAATCGTATTTCTGATTGTACTGTAGGCATACACTTTATCCTCATGCTTCAGGCGTTTTTGTAATTAATAAATAAAGTAGATGGGCCAAAATAATAAAAACTGAAGTTGCTAAAATGAAAATTGCCATTTATCTAAAAGCCCCAGTTTCTCTTCCCTTAGCACCTGGGATATTGCTTAAACCTCTGGAAAGGACATTTCTGAAAATGACAATACACTGTTTTTTTTCCCAGTCATTCACTGACTAAACTCTCTAGAAGTAGACGTGGCTCCCAACCTTACTGCAGTTTGTCTTAATTTCCACTGGGTACAGAGCGAGTATAGTTCTAAGATAATAGGATAAAAAGTAATGTCATGGAGAAAAGTTTCTTGGGATAGTTTTTTCCTCTAGCAAAGCCCTCATTTTATTGCCGTTTAAAAATTCTGTTTCACAGACCGACTCTCCAATCAAGGTCCAGATGCCTTTCTTTGAGTAGCCTCCCAATGACCTCAGCAAACGTACCAAGAAATGGCATTACTCACTGGGAATGCAGATCCTGCGTTCAGCTCCTACTCCTTCAATAAGTTGGAAAATTTGTGTGAAGTGCAAACCGAGAAAGGATTTTTCTACAGAAAGGCCAAACTTTTGCACCCCAATGAAGACTTGTGCTACTTAGCACGCCTGGATGACCGGACCAGGTTTGTGATCATCAATGTAGGTGGTATTAAATACAAAATTCCTTGGACCACCTTGGAGAACTGCCCTTTGACCAGGCTTGGGAAGCTAAAGTCTTGCAACAATTACGATGAGATCATGAACGTCTGTGATGACTATGATGTTAGCTGCAATGAATTTTTTTTTGACCGTAATCCTAGTGCCTTCAGGACAATCATGACTTTCTTGACAGCTGGGAAGCTGAGACTTCTCAGGGAGATGTGTGCTCTTTCTTTTCAGGAGGAGCTTGTGTACTGGGGGATAGAAGAGGACCACCTGGAGTGGTGCTGTAAAAAGAGATTGCGACAGAAAGAGGAGGAGGCAGCTGAAGCCAGGATGTATGAAGGGGAGATGATGTTTAGTGAAACTACTCAATGTGCCTTCCAGGACAATAACTGGTTGAGTTTGTGCATGAGAAATCTCAGGGATATGGTGGAGAACCCCCACTCAGGGATTCCAGGGAAGATCTTTGCTTGTATTTCAATCTCTTTTGTTGCCATCACTGCAGTCAGCCTCTGTATCAGCACCATGCCAGATGTCAGAGAAGAAGAAGATCGGGTGAGTGCAGCTTTTCTCAGAGTAAAGTATTTTGCCTTGTTGTCTCCTCAGGGAAGGTGACAGGCAAAGCAACCAAGGAGTTTTGGTATTTGATATTCATTTTCACAGGTTGCCCAGAGAAGTTGTGGTTGCGCCGCTCCTGCAGGTGTTCAAGGCCAGGTTGGATGGAGCCCTTAGACTGACTTAGTGATTGGCAGCTCTGCCCATGGAAGATGGGGTGGAACTATTTGATCTTTGAGGTCTCTTCCAGCCCAAGCCATTCCATGATTCATGCTGTGGAAGGCACAGAAATGTTTATACCTCTTAATCTTCACCAGTTTGCATAGATGGCTTTATCTAACAGATTTATTTTCTGTTACTGTTAACAAGATGATAAACTTGCTGCTGTGGTTATAAAAACTAGCTTTGCTTGAGACATAATACTTTGAAGTGTTAAAAGCTAACAGATCCATTTTCCTTAAAAGTACTTTAACATACTGCTTTTAATGAATTCTCAGCACCTGACTGTGTAGAACACATTTAAAAATACTTTGATGCTATAGGCGAGGTAAAGGGCAGGGAAGCTGGGGCAGTAGTGTAACAGCAGAAACAGTAAATGTCCCAGTTTTCAGACGTGTGTAGTATTTTCAAATGTGATCTGTGGATGCTTCATGCCCTTGGAAATCAAGTCTATGATTCAACAAATTTCCTAAGGGTTTATTGCTTTAGTCGTGGATCACATTCCTAGGATTAGCTGTATGTAGGCCAATGAGAGCTCATCTGAAGACTGATGGAGAAGGGTGTTTACATTTTCATTAATATGTGCTAAAATAAGTTTGGGGTGAAAGAGTTGGTGGTGTCTTTCTTTAGTTATTATTCAAATCTGTCAAAGATGCTGAATATTCGGGCATCTTTTCCAGCTCCACGGTCATTAAGGTGGTTGTGAAATTGACCTACCACCGCAGTACTTCATCCAGTTGAGTTCTGTCTGTTAACTGAATGCTAAGCTCTCCTCACAGTCGATTTTTCCTTGTGTGCTGTCATCCAAGCGCTTGGATGCTCACTGCTGTTAAGAGAGTGGTCATTAACTGACAGGAGACACTTAGTGTTTTGTGCTGTTGAAAGTAAAGAGCATGTTGATGGAATGGATCCAGCAATTCCACAGAATCCCATGCTGCATTTGACTGAGTGCTTCATGTGCAGTTAAACCCCACTCTCCATTTGCATGCTCAGGTTAGGTATCAGCTGAGCTGCATGATTTGAACCGGACTTACTCAATAGCAGCAGTTCACTCCAAGAAAAAAAAGCACATTTGGCATGTTGCTTAACGATTGAGTCATAATAAGGTCTTTGTTTTTAAGGCTTTTTATCATCTCAAATGTGAGGATAGCTAAACTAGGCACAAGTTAAAAGTTATATTGTCCTCGTGAATAAGTAATCTTTAAAAATATTATTTCCAAAATGCATGCCTTTTACTCTAATTAACTAGAAGTGCTACAGTATGCTGGATTTTTAAGCACAAGGGGTGTTCTACTGTTGAAAAGTGGGGTATATTCAGTGTTTAGATGTCCCTGGGTTTACGTGAGAACTGAACAGTTGCTGCCAGAACGATCAATTAGAGGATGGGTGCCTTACGTTTTTACAAGTTATCTAAACATGAGTGGGGACTATCCACTAATAAAATGTCTTGTACAGTAATAAAAAGGATAAAGCAAACATGTTACTGGAGTTCTTGGTAAGCTGGAGCCATTAAAAGCACATTTTCATACAAGCAAGTACAAAATTATACAGTGAAAATGAACGCCAGTTTGCTCTCACGAAAGTGGAAAGTCTAAAAAGGATTTAGAGGAAAAGCAGCTGAAGGTGAGTTCCTACTGCAGTATGAAGTCAGAAGGGTTAATGTAGCCCTTGAGTAAGGAGCAGTTATTAGAAGCCAGAAGATTCTGTGGCTGTATGTGGCACTGGTGAGACTGACACAAGAATAATGCAGTCAGTTCTTGCGTTCATTTTCTGGTAGCTTTTTCATTTAAAAAACAAAAAAAAAGTATATATATTGATAGGAGAAGCTGTGAAAAAAACTACATGTTAGACATCTGGAGAAAATGCCATACAGTGAGGAGCTTAACGTTTTCGTTTGTCTGGGTTATCAGAAGGAAGATCGTAGGGTGACCTGATGAAGCAAAAAAAGGTTTTTGGGGGGAGAGTGAAAATATATCAACTAGAAGACCTTCAAAATAAGCAGAGAAGGGATGTGTGATTCAAAGCTGTAACATGATAGTTGCCTATGTTCAGTATTACAGTGATTAATTACTGGGGCAGACGAGGAAGAGAATTAGTGAATCTTGTATGTTTTTATGTTTTCAGTTCAAAGCTTGATGCCCTTCTGGTTGTTAGCCATCAGCAGAACACGTTCTACTTAAATCAGAAATAAACTACGAATTTCTCTTCAAGTTGCAAAGGTCAAATGCTTGTGATACAAAGGAGGTCAGAGTAAATGATCTGTTTTTCTGTGCCCTTAGACTCCAAAAGTGCAGAACTCCTGTAAATAAGCCTTGTTCTCCCCTTTGCATGGAGAACAGTGGGCAGAGTGGAAATTGTTTTTTATTGAGACAAAAGTATTTGTGTAGCACGAGGAGTAGGTGAACGATCACTTTTAACATAGCTTATTTGATGTAATGTTCCTTGCCTGCTAACTGGGTCGGTGCAGGTCAGCTCTGTATTTGAATTGTAATCAGTTGTGCCAGGAGACAAGCATGGTGGCTGATTTTTGTCCTACACAAACGAATGTAAATTTCTATGGAGATGTTCTCAGCTTCTGGCAGGCTGGGCAAGAAGTCAGGCATCTCCCATGTGGAATGGCTTGTAGAATCAGACCGAGGCTGCATGTCATCTGTGCATGGTTCAGCAAGCCAAAGTACCTCATCAAATAATAGTTGGAGAGAAGAGAGCTCATACGAATTCAAAGTCATGCTAATCATCCTAAGTGGTGTCCTAAGTACTCTGTGTAAAATCTGTGCCCAGGGATAGCCATTTGGTCTGATTTTGCAGTCTCGTAATTAGAAGAAAATGTATCTGCATTCCTTCCTGCTAAGGAACAAACAAACAGTCAATATTGCTTCAAGGACACGCAGTACTCAGTGTGTACATTTTCCAAGCTGTTTGGCTAGAGTTATTGTTATGGTTCTGTCAGAGCTGTCCTGATGGCACTCTGGTTAACAAGCAGTGGTCTTTTCCCTGAGCTGGCATTTTCTGGAAAGCAGGAGGTTTATATGCCACCCTATGCCCTGTTACTGCGACAGGGAAAGAGAGGAACCAATAATGAACAAAACATGTTGAAGTACAATTTTTCACACCCTGATCTTTCAATACGATGTGAATGGAGCAGCTGTAACTCCCAGTGATGTTCTGCAGAGGTGCAAGTGACCTCACACAGTTGTAAGACCTTGAAAGACTCAAGTAGTTAACAAGTGCACGAGGAAGTTACTTTATGTGTGTGCTTCTCTCTTAAAATACAGAAGAAGAATCAGTCAGACATGTTGTTAATTTCATTAGCTGCTCCAGATGTTCTGGATGACAGTGACAATCCCTCATGGTGAGAGTGTGGGAGGGGTGGTGTTCTGTGCAGTGTAGCCATTTCATTCCGATTAATGGCTGCCTTGGTTCATCTCAAATGTTACTCTTTTCAGTTAGTCATCAGATTCAAGGCAGAATTAAACGCTAAACGACTTTTGACTTACCAAACACAGACATGCATTTGGGCTTTTTGTGGTTGTTAGCTTTTATTTACTGATTAAACAAAAAAGCACCAACCCAGTGATGTGCATTATTCAATGCTTCCAAAAATATCAGGATAGAGAAGTGGCTTAACCAGGTTGCAAATATATTGTGGAAAAAGCTTTAAGAGCACATTAAGAGCTGAACAACCCAATGACTTTAAGAGATTAATCTGAAAGGAAGATAGTCATCATGTTAGACTCTTCATGTTCTCTTGATGAAAACAGAAATTTATCCATTTCTACTTGAAAAAGAAAGCTCCCTCCTCACAAAAAAAAAAAAAAAAAAAAAAGGTGATAAGCACAGAAATTAACATCAACCATTTCATCCTAATTCACAAAAGCACTGAGCTTAATCATTTGTAGTGGTACTGTGTAAAAGCAGGAGAAGAAAATCAGATGGTAATGGTACTTCCTCCTTCACTGTGCTTTCTAATGTATTGGGAAATGCTAGTCTAATTAGAGATGCTCTGATAGGAAGTTACAGTTCAGTAACCTTAAGCTGAAGAACATTACAACAAAGAGAGAGATTCATAAATAAGTTAATAATATCTCATAAAGAAGCCTGAAGCTACTTAACCTTCTAAGCTTAATTTACACACTGTGTTTCAACATTCATGAGAAATAGATAAATTGTGAACACTCATTTTAAACTTGTGACAAAAGATTTCATTTTGCAAAGGTAGAGAATTAATTTCAGACAAGGTTAAGAGAATGTTGTGTAATGAATTGCCATGATAAGCTGTTGATGTGTGGACTGGACAAGCAGTCACTGAGGTGGGTTGAAAACTGGTTGAACAGTTTGGGCCCAGACGGTGATCAGTGTTGCAAAGTATGGTTGGAGGCAAGAAACAAGTGGTGTGTGTTTGGGGTCAATTCTTGGTCCAGCCTTGTTCAACATCCTCATTAATGATCTAGACGATAGGTCAGACTGTACTTTCATCAGGTTTGCTTGTACAAAAGCAGAAGTTCTGCTGACACAGTACTGTGAGGCGTGGGTGATATTCTGGAGAGTCGTTCCAGAGAGTCTAGATGAGCCCATTCCAGAGGGTCATCTAGAGGAGACAGGCTGGAGAAATGAGATGGCAGGAACCTCATGAAGTTCAGCAAGGGGAAGCAAAAAGTCCTGCAGCTGGGGAGGAACAACCCCAGATGGTAGGACATACTGAGGACTGCGCAGCTGGAAGGCGGTTTGACAGAAAAGGGCATAGGGGGCCTTGTGGACATGAAGTTGAACTTGAGCCATCA